GGCAAGAACCGGCGGGAATCACTCAATCGGGAATTCAGTGAAACAGAATGACCACCACTACCAGCGTTCTCCTCTCTCGATGTGAAAGTTTAAGAAGAATTTTACAGAAGAGTGTGCAACCAGTTTATATGAATAATTTGAAAAGACTTTACAGAGGTGGGTTTCAATGTCGTCAGGTCAGGTCATCAGTTGGCGCAAGCACCAAAGATCGTATAGCGCCGCGAAGTACGATCTTTCGCAAGTACAGTACTCAGTAGTAGTAGTGCCCCCAGAACTGTAGGGTCCGACGTCCGCTCCGCTCCCACGAACGGGGGTACCTTTTCTTACCATCACTGATGTTGCTGTCTGAGGCCACACTATGAGGCCGACACAATTGTGCGCATATTTATCACGGCAGCCTCCACTTCGTCAATAACACATGAAGTATAGTGCATAAAATATCCCCAACATTCCCAATTCTTCCATACCTGCGGCATGCTCAACTACATTTACCAAACACCTCAAATGATTCGTCGGCAAGGGTTTCATAAATTAGTGCTTAAAAATTGCAAAATAGTTTGGGGGAAGGAGGTGCATGAGTATAATAATTATGGAAGTTTTGCCATTTTGATAGAAAATTTAGAAATGTTTATTCTTTGGAAAAAACCCAAGACTCAAAGAGAAATCCTGCCGTAAAAGGAGTGCAATGATCCCTAGGGGTTAGGGTTTAATGCATGTAGATCACCTGGCTTAGTGGATCGTGGGGGGGGGTAGTTGTTTTGTACCACTCAAAGCAGTATTATTTGTGAAGTAATTGCTGATTTATTGTTAAATCTACCGGGTTCTTTATAGTTGCATTTTGGGGGTCATTTATTTGTATTGAGCAGTGCAGTTCCACTTTTACATGTTTCATGATGGAATTATGGAACTGGTTTCATGCACCTGTCTTTTTGCTTGGACGTTAACAAGTGTACAAACTCTAAACATAGAGTAATTGTTAGGTGTAACTTTACATGCTCTCTCAAATCCTTACTCTGTTTATTCAACTCCGCACTCTGTTTACTTTGCCAGAAAGGAAACGTTTCTATCAAAATGTCAGTATCAGTCATTCAGGGAGATACTTTGAGGTCAACTTGGACCGGAGGAAGGTCAAAACACCCGCCGGCCAACTCCTCACCGTTCCCAACGAGCCGTTAGCTATTGCCGTAGCAACCGAATGGGATAACCAAGGAGTTGAAATAAAGCAGCACACAATGCACTTGGTAAAAAAAAGAAAGTCTGAATAATTTGACTGAAGGGAAATGTTGGCCATCTTCTTTAGTCTTAATATTGGCACAAGTAGTATTTTGGTTTGGTAATTTTCATTTTTTGTTTTGCTACGATGCAATGATAGGCAGCATTTTTCCTCATCAGTTAGTTGATATGTTAGTGATATAAGTTATAAAAATTGATGAATTACTTTAAAGTGAATGTAGATTTTTCTCTTCAGATGAATGTGATATTGTTTTGGGTGATTCCAATTTCATTTGCCTTTTTTTTTATTTGACCAATCAGTATTGCTGTTCCATCTTCAGTTAATTAGCTTTATTGTTTATTGTGTCTTTTTCATATCCAGACTACATTATGTAACACAGCCATTGACAACCCCTCTGGTAGGAACAAAGAGCAGGTTGTTAGAGCCATCCTTCACTTCCTGGACACAGACACAATATGGTGAGGATGTTGCAAGTGTAGCACTAATCCCCACTGTGTATTGGGTGATCTTAATCCCAACTAGAATGTTACAGTTGGGCCGGCCCAACTACCAGCATGTACCATATGCATACATGGACATGTTTATGCATCAAAATCTGCTCATCAACCCTAACCCTACACCCTACATAATATTACAAATTACTAGTTGTAGTAAAATGTAGTATTTAGCCCTGTCGCTTGTAAGAGGACATGACTTTATTGTTCTCTGAAGCCATAAGATACAATAGATAAGACAATGTACCATACAGTGCTGTGGCACTATGATTGCATGGCTTTATTGTTCTCTGTGCGAGTAACAATGGAAGGCACCTAGCCAGAAGTAGTAATTTGTAGCACTAGGTCCTTCGGGCTCAGGCTATTACTTAGTATTGTGTAGTAGTGAGTACTGTAAGCCAAACAATATGCTTGGCAGTTAGGGTTAATCAGGTTGAAGTATAGAGTAATGATCTGTTAGCCCTAAAAATGAATTCGCTGCAAATCTAACAGCTACAGACTGAGAGACCCACCAGAGCTGTTTGCCCTCCAGACCAACGAGTGGGATCCACTCCTGGAATGGATCAACGCCAGGTACAAGGTTGAGGTGTCCTCGTCAACCTCCATCGCAGGGCCTCAGATACCGGAAGCGACCAAGGAGACGTTGAGACATCACCTGGAGACGCACTCAGATTGGGCACTTATAGGTAGGCTTGCAGCTCCCGAAAAGAGTTTGTACTGAACAACGTACCTCCATGCTTGACCAAAGACTATCGCCTTTTTTTATATTGAAAATTTAATCGTATTTGCCCAATCAAAACCATAACCTAGTTGCACAGTGGCAACATGGAATTTCTTTCAAGTCTGTAGATTTAAGAAATTTCCAACCTCTGTAAATTTTAAGTGTAGGCTATTTCATATCCTTAGAATTATAGAAATTATATGTATACCATACTATTCTACTCATCACGATTGTCAAACCAGAAAGACAAACTGAGCAGGTGCTTAAATAATAATGCCAAAGATAAACAAAGAAGTTGACTGGAGTGTGATCGAACCTCGAACCTCTGGAAAGCTATCCCAGCGCTCTACTGAGTGAACTATCCAGCTGTGTGTTTTGCGATCCCTGCCATTTGCTGACATTTGCTGACAAGTACCAGTCACAGGCCATAACATGAACAGTCAATAACCATTCCCATTGTTATGAAAGCAGCAATATTTAATGTGCAGAGTTGCAAACCAGAGAATAACCGTACAGGGGAAACACAAGAGCTGAGCAGGTGATGGTGCAGTGGCTACCAAGATGAGAGAAGAAACATGGGGGTGGTTTAAACTTTGTACCTGCAACCTCCAGCACCTTTCACTTACTGTTCAGGGTATGAAAACATGGTGAGTTCCCTGAAGTCCCTGGTGCTGACCTTTGCCCTGATGGACAGGAGGCTGAGTGTGGAAGAAGCCGTCAAACTGTCACTACTAGAGACAGAGTTCCAGGTGAGGTGTCAATCATACGGGCAGAGCATAGAGAGGATTGGATTGTAAATCTTGATGGCTATTTCTGTCAGTGTGTAAGTTAACCCCTGTCTATTCTGCAGTTGAAATGCAGTGGTGACTTTGAACAGCCGCTTGCTTCAACATTCAGTACTTTTGCCTTTACAGGGCAAACTGGGATGGTACATTTCCAAGTGGATTGTGGAACTAGTGATTCTATAACTGTTTTTCAAAATGGCCATTTTTCCAATGAGGAAACTGAAAGACTGAAGCTATTTTTGCTCATTCAGTTGTCTTGTCGGTTACGTCAAGGTGTAAATATTGCACCAACTCAGATGCAAATTATGCTATTTCTATGCTTGTGATCATATGAATATGCAAAAAGGCATTGACAACTTGACAGGAAAGTAACTTCCTTCAAACTTGAAAACTCAAAGACTGTTTCAAATCCAACAGGAAATTTGGGAGGCATTTGCATTATTTTCTAAGTGAAACTTCCTTCTTGTACTGTCATTATGCTTTGGGGTTAGTGCCAGGGGTGTAGCCTCAGGGGTCTTGGGGGGCACATGTCCCCCCCCACAAATTCCTGGTGCCCCCCCCCCAAGATGCTGCTTCCCCCTTGTGCCCCCAATTAGTAAAATCCTAGCTATGCCACTAGTTATTGCTCCATAAGTGTTCAGCATGTGCCCGTGGTTTCCTGCAAAGTGGGTTATTTTAATACAAGAGCCAATCATGAAGGTTCCTAAGCGAAATTCTCATAGTTACGGTCAATGCACTTCTGAACTTTTTTCTTTTCCACTTTCAGATTGCAAGATGGGGTAGTGTGGAATGGGCGCATGACACAGAAAATGCAGATCTGAAAGCACGTGTTGCTGCAGCCGCACTCTTCACGCAGTTGGTCTCAGGGTCGCACGAGGTCAAACAAAAACAACCCGTTCAGTATTAACCGAGGAATGTCGCACCATAAGCAGTGCTTGACACAGTTTTCGTTTCAGCCAAGCATGCATGGAACAGAACAAAGACCTCAGTGGAACGTTGTGAAAGTCACAAAAATGTGGTATGTGCACTAAGTGGGCTTTGCCAGACTTCTTTAGAATGATTGATTGAGACTGGACTCTCTCTT